TCACCTGAGGTCAGGAGTTAGAGACCAGCCTGACCAACATGGCAAAATCTCATCTCTATTAAAAACACAAAATTAGCCTAGCACAGTGGCGCATGCCTGTAATCCCAGCTACTTGGGAGGCTGAGGCAGGAGAATCACTTGAACCCGGGAGGTGGAGGTTGCAGTGAGCCAGGCTGGTCTGGAACTCCTGACCTCAGGTGATCCACCTGCCTCAGCCTCCCAAAGTGCTGGGATTACAGGTGTGAGTCACCACACCTGTAATCCCAGCACTTTGGCCCACTGCGATTTTTTTTAAACCTAAGTGAGACCACATCATTCCTCTGTTCAAAGCTCTTCAAGGGTTCCCCATAGTGAAACCCAATCTTGGCAATACTCCAGGGCCAACAAGATCTGCCTCCACCTCACGACCTCACGACCTCTCTGACCTCATATCCTACTCTACACTTCTCCTAGGCCCCGTAACATCATTCCAGCCACACTGACCTCCATGCCATTCCTCAAACACACCAGACATGCTTCTGCCCTCAAGGCATATGCAAAAACTGATCCCTGCCTAGAACACCCTTCCACCAGATATCCTCAAGGCTAACTCCTCTAACTACTTCAAGTCTTTGCACAAATGTCATCTTCTCAATAAAGCTGCCTGACCAGCCTATTTAAAACCAGCCCCACCCTCTTCCCTTTAACCTGCTATGTTTTCTTTTTTCCACTGCACTTATCATCTAACAACCCATATCATTTGCTTACGTTTGTTGTTTAATATCCGTTTCTCCCACACTAGGGCAGGGTTATTTATTACCTATATTGCCCACTGATGTATTCCAAATGCCTAGAATTGTGCCTGAGAAACAGTATACATTCGTATTAGTTGAATAAATAGTTTTGTACATGTCTATAGGATTATCTAATTAGTGGCTGAATGATTCACTACCTAGGAACAGGGACTGGGTCTGGTTTTGTTCATCATTGCATTTCCTAGATCCTAGCATAGGATTTGGCATAGAATAGACACACAAATACTTGTTAACTGAACAATACAACTCTTTTTTTTTTTTTTTAGACAGAGTCTCGCTCTGTCCCCCAGGCTGGAGTGCAGTGGCACGATCTCGGCTCACTGCAACCTTCACTTCCAGGGTTCAAGCAATTCTTCTGCCTCAGCCTCCCGAGTAGCTGGGACTACAGGTGCGCACCACCACACGCAGCTAACTTTTGTATTTTTAGTAGAGACTGGGTTTCACTATATTGGCCAGGTTGGTCTTGAACTCCTGACCTTGTGATCCATCCATCTCAGCCTCCCAAAGTGCTGGGATTACAGGCGTGTGACACCGCGCCCAGCTGAACAACGTAACTTTCTTTAATCAAAAGACACAAATTTAAAACAAATGACATCATCCAGAGCTTGTAAGATTACAGGGGAAATCCAACTGCCATATATTGTTGGCAAGTATGTAAATCGATGCCTTTGAGAGTAAGCTAGCTACAGGTATTAAAATTTAAACCACTCAGAACTCATGCCCTTTATTTAATTCACTAGTCTTACAGAAGTACAAGAGTACCTAAAAAATATGCACAAGGACATCCATTACAACACTGCTTATAAAATAATTAAAAATTGAAAACAATGTATTTGCCCCACAATAGGGAAACAGGCAATAAATCACGCATGGTACATGCATATGATGAGATAGTCTTTAACAAGAATGAGGAAGGCCTACAACACTGACCTGGAAAGTAGTCCACGATCTAGTACATAAGCCAGACGGCATGGATTTGAAGTCTGCTCCCCCACTTAGTAGCTGTATAACATCAGGCACATTTCTTTAACTTCTCTGTGCTTCAGTTTCCTCATCAAGAAAATAGAAGCAGTAATATTTCAATAGTACTCACTTCATTGCTACGAAGATTCCCTAAGATAATGCCTACAGTGTTTACAGAACATTACATGGCCATATAACCATGTATGAGTATATTCTAGCTAACATTTATTAAGTGAGATAGGGAAGTTGCAGGTTTATGTATGTAATGCATGTCCTTCAGGGGTAAAAGGTAGCATGTCTGTGTAACTAACAAGAAACAATCAGGAATCCAGCCTGGTCAACACGGCAAGGATAAAAACTAATGAAGTGGGTTGGGTGCAGTTGCTTATGCCTGTAATCCCAACACTGAGAAATCAAGATGGGAGAATTGCTTGAGCCCAGGGATTCAAGATCAGACTGGGCAACACAGTGAGACCCTCTCTACAAAAGAAAAAGAAAAAAGTGAAGTAAAATCAGAGCAAATGTTTCAAAGACATAGTTGAACTTAGATTAAACATTAAAATTTGAAATTTTTCACATTTTTGAATTTTCAGGGGAAAACAGATCAACTGAAATTTCTTTAACTATTAAAATTACCTATATTCCAAATAAGTAAACTAAGAGGCAGTATCAAAAACCCAAAACTTTTTTAATTTACAAAATTATTAAAATGAATAAAGTGATTACATTTCATCCCTTCAATTTACACACAAATCGATTTTCCTAATCTACCATATGGTCATGAAAAACAGACAATATAGATTTTTTTTTTTTAAAGTTATCAAAGACAATCGCTTCTGAAATGGGATAAAACGAGATACAGTCAAAGACTAAGCAGTTAGTTATCTTTCACCACCAGTTTGACACAAAATAATTCTGGCAATTTTTTTTTTTTTTTAATCAGCAGGAAATTCAAATGTGCCTAAAGCTAAAGTGGTCTACATGAGTTCAGCAAAAGACACAAATTAAATCCCCAAAAGCCAGACTCAGGGACTCACACCTATAATCCTAGCACTTTGGGAGGCGTAGACAGATGGATTCCTTGAGTTCAGGGGTTTGAGACCAGCCTGGGCAACATGGCAAAACACCGTATCTACAAAAATACAAAAATTAGCTGGGCATGGTGGCATGCACCTGTAGTCACAGCTACTTGGGAGGCTGAGGTGGCAGGATTGCTTTAACCCCAGGAGGTCGAGGCTGCAGTGAGCCAAGATGGCACCACTGCACTCCAGCCTGGCCAACAGAGTGAGATACTGTCTCAAAAAAAAAAAAAAAAAAATTTAAAATCCCCAAGATGAACTTCTGACACAAGGCACTCAAATGTACCAAATTATCTCTCTCCTACTGTAAAAAGTAGCCATGGCTAACTACATTAATTTAAAATAAAAATCATCCTAGAGTCACAAGATTTGAAAAATAGGAAATAAATCTGAACTAAAATAGCAAGAATACAATTTCCTAAAGCTCATTTTCCCTAGTCTCTTTCAAGTGCTTAGTCACTTCTGCCTATTTACAAGGAAGACCATTTCATATCTTGAAAGAGGCAGGGAATTTTGATTCCAGACTGTCATGTCACCTGAGCTGCCCTAAACGTTTGTTTCCATGCAACTCAAGAGAAGGCAGCAGCCAGCTATGCATACCTATCACTCCTGATTAGAACCACAAGCTCTCTCTGTATCCTGCCTCTCCGCGCAGTAAGAAAGTGGGATTGTGGAAAAACAAAGTTTTCTTGCCTGACACCAAATGCAAAAGGTGATCATTAAAATGCAGCCTGAAAACATCCCAGTTTCCTCTCTCTGACAGCCCATCAAAAATACTTTCCTTCCCTTACGTTCCCTTACTGGAACAGAAATAGCAAGCAGGTTCTTATAAAAGTCCAAGTGCTCACTGGACATCTCCCCTCAGGCAACTACCACCACCCAAAACTACAGGTTAATAGGCTCTGGAGCACATTTCCCAGAGAGCAGCCAGAACCTTAATATCTGATACGGTTTCGAGTTCCCCAAAGGCAAGAATAAAGAGTAAGAGTTTCATGAAAGGTTATTCTGAGACAACCCCAAGCAAAGGTAAGTTTTAAAGTACCTACTCCATACCAAGTCCCTTTTCCCAACATTCTACCCTACTCACACTTAAAGATGCTAAGCACACACGTTGATTATAGAAACACACCAGAAAGAACTTTCACAACTAGATACAGTAGGATCTTGGAAAAGACCAAGTACACTACTCCCAAACATCAATTCTAGGTGGTAAAACCTGGAACCGTGTAGTCAATCTGTGAGGCACAGCTCAGTCCAGTTTCCCAGAAGATCATGAAGGGCTCTGACAATCAACTTTCATTATTTAGGATGGGGCCCTTTTTTCCCTTCCAAGAATATAAACGCCATAAATGACACATTTCTTCCACTTCATTTTTTTTTTAGTTCCACAAGCAAATATCTTCAAGTAGTGCGAGTAGGCCTCAGCATTCTCAAACACTATTCTCATTACTCCTAATATCTCCGTAACAATTCTATTATTTTATATACACATTCGTGTTGCTATTTTTATAGATAAACTATAAAGGCATGAATTAACCTCTCGATTAAATCGTGTGTGAGAATACTCAGGTTCAACGAGGCTAACAAATGAGCCCAGAGCTTGCTGGTTAACAATCCAGATCCTTTAGACACCCAGGCCCCAACACCTACCATTAAGCCACAGTGCCATTCAGGGAATGCTACTAAATCCAGTTACTGTACACAACTACTTCCAGGTCACATAACTGGGTGCAAAGAGCTCTATAGCAAGGATTGGGGCCGCGGGGAGGGCACGCAACCTAACATTTTTTTTTCTTTAACGAATATAGCACATGCTCCCGATTTCCATCCTCCCCCACGGGCAGAACCCACGTGCCGGTTCCCCGCTACCCAGAACCGCTCCCTCCCCACACTCCCCCACGCTACCCAGCAGCCTCCCCACGCCCTTCCCTCTGTCCTCCCGCAAGCGCTGCACGGGCGCCTCCCGCCCCCTCCCCAGCGACGGCCGCCGGGGCGCCCGCGCCGCCCTCGCGCGCCGCAGCCCGCGCGTCCCCGCCTCCGCCCGGCAGGGTCACCCCTGGGACCTGCGCGCACCCTTCCCGCCGCCTGCCCTCCCCGAAGTCCTCCCGCGACGCCGACGCCGGGCAGGCCGCGCCCGCCGCGCCTGCCATGGTGGGCGCCTCACCGTCAGGCTGGGAAGCCGGGCCCGGCTGCGCCATGACCAGGCGGCCGGCCTCGGGGAGCGGGGATGGGCGGGGAAGCGGCGTCCCGGGCTCCCGCGGGCTCAGCTGGCGGAGGAGGCGTCGACCGAGCCGCCGCCGCCGCCGCCCAGGGAGGAACCGCTAAGGCTGGAGCCGCCGGCGCCGCCACAGCCGCCGGCAGAGACGGACCCGACCGCCGACCTCCGCCTCCTCATCCTGACAGCGGGAAATAAGCAGTGCGCAGGCGCGGGGGGATGGGGCGGCACGTGACGTTGGCCCGAGGGGAGGGGCGGGGCCTCGGGAGCGCGGAGGGAGCGCGGCAGAAGGGGAGGGTCCGGGCGGAGCTGGGCGCCTGACCCAGCGCCAGAGGGAGGCTGAAGGCGGAGCGGAGCTGGAGAAGAGGGACAGCAGTAAAGACCGGGCCTCTCGAACGGGCCGGTCCCGGTTGCCCACCACAGCACAGTGGGAAAAAAAAAAAGAAAAAGAATAAGAAAGGAGGACAGATGGCGGGGTGCAGTTCCAGCCTCTACCTCTTCTAGCTGTGCGACCTTGGGAGAGTCACTTCACCTCTTGGAATTTTTGTCAATATAATGGCTAAGAAAAATTTAAACGAGGTAATAAAGTATGAAGAACTGTTTCCGACAGTACTGGGCCTGGACCCCAGGTCCTCTGATGCAGAGGCCAGTGTACTATCCATTAAGCAAATACGTTTGGCTCTCAGTGGTGATAGATGCTGGAGATACAGCCAGGTACAGACTCTGCACTCATAGCAGGAGAGGAGAAATCATATACAGAAAGTGTGGCCCTTTATACCTGGGCAAGAGAACCTGCCCTGGGCCCCATACTTTAGGAACTCCCCTCTAATCACTCCCCATCTGATTTCGACACCTGGAGCGTGCCCCATGCCAAGGAGGTAGTTTAAAAAGCTCTTTTTTTGAGATAGAGTCTCACTCTGACACCCAGACTGGAGTGCAATGATGTGATCTCGGCTCACTGCAACCTCTGCCTCCCGGGTTCAAGCGATTCTCCTGCCTCACCCTCCCGAGTAGCTGGGACTACAGGTGCGTTCCACCACACCCGGCTAATTTTTGTGTTTTTAGTAGAGATGGGGTTTTGCTATGTTGGTCAGGCTGGTCTCCAACTCCTGACCTCGTGATCCACTTGCCTCAGCCTTCCAAAGTGCTGGGATTACAGGCGTGAGCCACCACACCCGGCCTAAAAAGCTATTTTGAAATCAAAGAGGAGCATCAGGAATTACGTACATTTTCATATTTTTAAGGAAATCCTAAGGCCCAGCAATCCCACCCTAGGGTGAGGGAGTCCACAGAGTTTGGCACTTTAGGACCAAGTTCTGCATACCTGTGGCCCCAGAATTCCCTTTCCAGTTAGCTGAAGCTGTGGCCTCTTTCCCAGATCCATTCTCTCTAGGGCAGAGTCTAGGCATCCCTAAAAGAATCTAAAGTGGCTGGGTGCGGTGGCTCACGCCCGTAATCCCAGAACTTTAGAAGGCTGAGGCGGGCGGATCACAAGGTCAGGAGATCGAGACCATCCTGGCTAACACGGTGAAACCCCGTCTCTACTAAAAAATACAAAAAATTAGCCGGGCGTGGTGGCGGGCGCCTGTAGTCCCAGCTACCTGGGAGGCTGCGGCAGGAGAATGGCGTGAACCCGGGAGGCGGAGCTTGCGGTGAGCCGAGATCGCGCCACTGCACTCCAGCCTGGGCGACTGAGCCAGACTCAGTCTCAAAAACAAAACAAAACAAAACATAAAAAGAATATAAAGTGAGGCCATAAAAAAGAATGAGTTCATGTACTTTGCAGGGACATGGATGAAGCTAGAAACCATCATTCTCAGCAAACTAACGCAAGAACAGAAAACCAAACACCGCATGTTCCACTCATAAGTGGGAATTGAACAATGAGAACACATGGACACAGGGAGGGGAACATCACACACCCGGGCCTGTGGGGTGTGGGGGGAAGGGGAGGGAGAGCATTAGGTCAAATACCTAATGCATGTGGGACTTAAAACCTAGATGACGGGTTGATAGGTGCAGCGAACCACCATGGCACATGGATACCTATGTAACAAACCTGCACGTTCTGCACACGTATCCAAGAACTTAAAGTATAATTAAAAATAATAGGCCAGGCGCAGTGGCTCACACCTGTAATCCCAGCACTTTGGGAGACTGAGGCAGGTGGATCACGAGGTCAGGAGTTCAAGACCAGCCTGGCAAACATGGTGAAACCCCGTCTCTACTAAAAATACAAAAAATTAGCCGGGCGTGGTGGCAGGTGCCTGTACTCCCAGCTACTCAGGAGGCGGAAGCAGAGAATTGCTTGAACCCGGAAGGCGGAGGTTGCAGTGAGCAGAGATCACGCCACTGCAACTCCAGTGTGGGCGACAGATCGAGACTCAGTCTCAAATCATGATCATCATCATCATCAGAAAATCCACTAATTAGAATCAGTTTCTACTTTCTTTAATTAAATCATTTGTTTTAAAGAAGATATGGCCGGGCGCGGTGGCTCACGCCTGTAATCCCAGCACTTTGGGAGGCCGAGGCGGGCGGATCACAAGGTCAGGAGATCGAGACCATGGTGAAACCCCGTCTCTACTAAAAAATAGAAAAAAATTAGCCGGGCGCAGTGGCGGGCGCCTGTAGTCCCAGCTACTTGGGAGGCTGAGGCAGGAGAATGGCGTGAGCCCGGAAGGCGGAGCTTGCAGTGAGCCGAGATTGCGCCACTGCACGCCAGCCTGGGCGACAGAGCGAGACTCCGTCTCAAAAAAAAAAAAAAAAGTTGCCTTTGCAGCCTGGAAGACGGAAGCTCCGTCTCAGAGATGCTTCTATTAAAAGAATGATTATCAAAAAGGGAGGCTAAGGAGCAGCTGTTTATTTTAAAGGGGGTATTAATACTTTGAGCTCCCAAAAAAAAAAAAAAAAAAAAAAAAAAAAAAAAAAAAAAAAAAGATATACTTCTATTAAAATGATTATCATCAAAAAAGGGGGGGCTAAAGGGCAGCTGTGTTTTATTTTAAGGGGGTGACACGACACTTGGGTGTTTGAGCTCCTATGTCCACAGATCCCTCGTGGTGCAGAACAGAGGTGAGAAAAGAAGTGAGCCAAGAGACAATAGTTGGGCCAGGTCCTGTGCTCCCTTCACCACCTCATTCATGTGCTTAACTCCCAGGAGTCCAGGAATTCTAAATTTAAACCTGGCCTTCCAGGTCTTAAAAGATGTAGATTTGTCCAAGTAGAAGAATAGACTATATTAAGGTTAGCGGTTAATTGGAGTAGTTTGCAATTTTATTTTATTTTATTATTTATTTATTTTTTGGAGACAGAGTCTCACTCTGTTGCCCAGGCTGGAGGGCAGTGGCACCATCTCAGCTCACTGCAACCGCCACCTCCAGGATTCAAGTGATTCTCCTGCCTCAGTCTCCTGAGTAGCTGGGATTACAGGCGTGTCTCACCACGCCCGGCTAACTTTTGTGATTTTAGTAGAGACGGTTTCACCATGTTGGTCAGGCTGGTCTTGAACTCCTGACCTCAAATGATCTACCCACCTTGGCCTCCCAAAGTGCTGGGATTACAGGTACGAGCCACCATGTCCGACCTGGTTTGTAATTTTAAGTAATTAAGGTATCTGTTTGTACTTTTGCCCCAGGTCCTGCCAACGTTAGGGGAGAGCCAATATACAGACTCGAGTTTTTCCAGCAGTGAATGTCTCCCAAATGACTGGTGTGCATTTGAGAGAGCAAGCAGGGTCTCCCCGGCACCCTGCCCAACCCCCCATAAATGATTTTCCTAGATTAGCAAATCCATACTTACCAGGGAGACCTTTGGCCAGGATAGGGCAGCCCAGTGCATCCTCTGTATTGTTGTGATGACTAACACGAGGTATAAGCCATAAAGATAGCAGATGTGACCAGGTGCTGTGACTCACGCCTGTAATCCCAGCACTATGGGGGGCTGAGGCAGGCAGATCATTTGAGGTCAGGAATCCAAGACCAGCCTGACCAACATGGTGAAACCTTGTCTCTACTAAAATACAAAAATTACCCAGGCATGGTGTTGGGCACCTATAATCGGGGGGCTGAGGCAGAATCGCTTAAACCCAGGAGGTCCAGAGGTTGCAGTGAGCCAAGATTGTGCCACTGCACTCCAGCCTGGGCAACAGAGTGAGACTCCCTCTCAAAAAATAAAAATGAAATAGAAGGGGCTCCTTCCAGTGAGAGAGTGGCAAATTTATTGCCATTGATAATGAGGCTTGAAGCCAGGCCCCCAAGATCAAGATCCCTCAGAAATGGTCAGGCATCTGATTTGGACACCTACGGCTCTCTATGTGAAGGAAGTAGTTGAAAAAGCCATTTTGAAATCAGATAGGAGCATCAAGAATACTGAACATTTTCATATTTTTAGGTAAACCCTAGGACCCAGCAATTCCACCCCAGGAATATATTTTAAGAAAACAGATGTATGCTCAAAGTCTTTATTAAGTATAAAAGATGTGATTCTTATGTTCTGAAGGACATTGGGAATAATACATAAATACATCAAATAATTGGTTACCAATGACATTGCCCATGTGCCCCAGGAGACATATGAATATTCACAGTGGCATAGTTCATAATACGATAAGTAAAGGACACATATGTTCATCAACAGTGGACTAGATTTTTTAAAAGTTTTAACATACAATGGAATAATCTACAGCAATGAAAATGAACAAACTGGTCGGGTACGGTGGCTCACACCTGTAATCCCAGCACTTTGGGAGGCCCAGGTGGGCAGATGACGAGGTCAAGAGATGGAGACCATCCTGGTCAACATGGTTGTCTCTACTAAAAATATAAAAATTGGCTGAGCGAGGTGGCATGCACCTGTAGTCCCAGTTACTTGGGAGACTGAGGCAGGAGAATCGCTTGAACTCAGGAGGCGGGGGTTGCAGTGAGCCGAGATCGAGATTGTGCCACTGCACTCCAGCCTGGCGAGAGAGCAAGATTCCATCTCAAAAAAAAAAAAAAAGAAAAGAAAATGAACAAACCAAAGCCACATGTTTAATGTAGATGAATGAATCTCACAAACCTAATTTTGAGAGAAATAAGAAAATTATACAATACTTAGAACCTGATTCCACTCGCATAAAGTTCCAAAACAGACAAACCTAAACATTATGCATACATAGTTGGTAAACGGTAAAGATAGGAAGAAAACCAGTATGGCCGAC